CTGGAACATGGTTGAGAAACAGTTTTAGTGGCAAACTAGGCACTTGGAAGATGAAGATAATGCTAAGAGTTTTTGGTGGCATGGACTGGATTACTGGCAGGCATTTGTATGAGTGGTTCAAGGGTAGTTTTGTAATTGAAATTCAAATGTTGTATTGAAACCCTCAGTGGAAACTGACTTTGTAGTATCTTACATCCTTCAACATATTGTAGAAGTGCCATACCCGATAACAAAGTGCTGTCACATAATGCAACAGGTGATGCAGGGCAGGTCCTCAAGAAAATATAGTGACAAAAATGTAAAATATGAAGCATACAAAATATTATTAAATGAATATGAATGAGCAGAAACACATAACATATGGATACAATTGTTAAAAAAAGAAGAGAATCTGTTACAAAAAATAATGAAATAATCAGGTTTCAGTGTGGTATATTTAATGTCTTTGTTGGTAGCTCAGATTATGTAGCATCAAGTGGTGGGAATATTGAACTGGAAAGGATGTGGGAGGAATCAGCCATGGCCTATTTTAAGGCACTATCCTGGACTGAGGAAAAGCATGAAACCTTCAGAATAGTCTGTGTCCCAGGTAATATTCAAATTGGGCATCTCCCAGATTGATTAGTTCAGGACCAAGTGAAGATGTATAGGGGAGTTGAGGTATAGTACTGTCATTCTTAACCTTGGCATTAGATGAAGGTGAGTGGGCAGATTGACTCCCCTGCCGCTACAACCCCTGGTACCCACTGTATGGGAGGCTAGCTGGGTCCCAGTGCCGGTCTGGACGTTGTGGACAAGAAAAAAAGTATCTTGCTCCTACCCATAATCAACCTCCCAGCTCCTCGGTTCAACCTGTATCCCAGTCATTATACTGACTGAGCGATCCCGGTTTATTGACCTACATACAGCACATGCAGCAAATAATACGTCACAAAACGTACATAATTAGTGAATACTGCGCTCACTCAAATCTTTAGGCTAGGAATCAATCGCCTGGAGTTGCAGCCATGAAGAGTTGAGGTGCAAAGGTGTCGCTAACCAACGCGTACAGGAGCAATCAAAGCCATTGCATAGAAACTCCTAGTGAAGACAATCCGGGGAGACTTAGTGCATACTACAGTGAACTGTAAAGCGCGTAAATTAGTGAAACTGTTATGATTGTGAATTTCAAGAGTCAAATCTGGTTACCAATCCAGACCTTGTCTCTAGTCACTTAACACGTGACAACTGGTGTCAGAAGTAGGATAATTTGGATTCGATTAATAAAATTGTTGGATTGGAGACCATAGTAATTATATCATAAGGCTACTAAAATGGCACAAAGAATGGAACGCCATTAGCCATTGGAGAAGAAATGAAGGTCGAGATGGATTCAGTACTGAATTAAGGCCATTCGAGGAAAGATATACGCCAACCAAAAAGAAATGAAAACACACATAGATGCTCTCGTCTCCTGGATGAACTTTGTCCAGGTCAAAACAGCGACAAACCAGAAAAAGATGAAGGCAGCGATCAAGAGCAACCAAGAAACGATGGAAACCAGGATGAATGCCTAGCTAGAAGAGACAAAGGCCTGCCGAGAAGCGATGGATGCCCCATAGAGAAGATTGAGGCTAATCAGGAAAAACTGGAAATCAAGACCGTAGCACATCTAGAAAAGTGGATGCCAAACAGGAATAAATGAAGAACATAAAGATGGTAGACCAAGAACAGATGATAGCTTACAGGAAGATCTGGAGGCCAGTCGAGAAGAAACAGAGGCCGTAGTGGAGCGTCAGGAAGTCCCTAACGGTGAGACCCGCAGTGGAGCCCTCAGAGCACTGGAGGACAGACCAGCATCTGGCCGTGGGATACCGAAACTCACTGACAAGGCGGACTCAAGATGATGTTGTACGAGAAATTCTGATAGATCGTTGGAAGTTTCCATCACAGGACTGTAGATCTGGGTTTCCAATGAGACCACGCAGGTCTGTGCACACTGTCCTTATTAGAGTACCAATTCTTTCCTCTCAGGACACTCAATCAGCCCCAAGCCTCCATCCCACTGTCCTGGCTTCTCTACACTGCTTCTGCTTCTGCTCCTTCATCCTCCACCTCATGCCTAAGACCAATGGACACGAGTTCTCTCCCTGCTTCTTAGTTCTATGCTCACTACACCCTTACCATGTTCATCCTGTCTTTTCCTAGCCCAGCACATTAAAGTCCATGCTGGCTGTCGTGTACTTGTCTCCTTTCGGTTCGCTAGGTTGTGAGAGGCAGTGTATGCTAGCTGTTCATTATGTCTCACGGGCGAGCCAACGGGAACTGACTTGCTATCGTTTGCTATTTTCAATTTCTCTTGTTCATTCATTCATTCATTTATTATAGTTCCAAAAAAATCCATAGAGCCATCTGCCTCAGATATAGAACAAGTCAATAATACAATATAGCATATAAATATACATACATAATCAGATAGTCATCATTGTCAAAATTTAAATATTCAATACAACAAAACTACTGTACAGCAATACATTCCATATATCAAAATAACATATAAAATTATATATACGATCAAAGACCACCAAGATCCTTAATATAGTAATATAAAATCTATTTTCTTAATATATAATACACCTGTATCATAACAGTAATAGCACCTTTTTCCTGAGTATTTATTCCATAGACCATTGCATTCTAGCAATAGGCAACAGTGTTCATTTAAATATACATTTTATTCATTCATTCATTTATTACAGTTAAAAAATCCACAGATGGGTCTGCTTCAAAATATAGAAGAAGTCAGCAGCGCAATATAACATATAAATATACATGCATAATCAGATAGTCATCATCATCAAAATTTAAAATACAACACAACAAAACTACTGTACAAGAATACATTTCATATATCAAAATAACATTTAAAATTACATACATGATTAAAAGACCGCCAAGCCTCTTAATATAGTAATATAAAATCTATTTTCTTAATATATGATACACTTATATTACAGCAGTGATAGCACCTTTTTCCTGAGTATTTTATTCCATATTCCGTTGCATCCTAGCAATAGGCAACAGTGTTTATTAAATATACATGAGGGATCAATCTTTATTCCAGCAGTAGTATTCTTCAACAGTATAAAAAGAACTGGTGATAAGAAACTTCTTTAACGCCACTTTAAATCCAGGAATGTCATAAGATAATTGTTTAAGCTCTGGAGGGAGGTGGTTATAAAGTTTGATACCAGAATACCATCCACCTTTCTGAAATATCGTTAAGTTTACCACCGGAAGATGCAAGTCATGATTAAATCTGGTATTACGTGTGTGGACATCAGAGTTTGTTATATAGCAATCTCTATTCTTGACAACCAGCATAAGTAAAGAAAATATATATTGCGACTGAAGTGGCAGTATATGTAACTCCTTAAACAAATTACGGCACGAATCCACATTACGAGAATTGGTAATAATTCTTATTATTCTTTTCTGTATTTGAAATATGATTTTTGCATGAGCCGAGCTCCCCCAAAATATTATGCCGTAAGATATTATTGAATGAACTAGGGAGAAATAAACAGTTTTTAGGCACTCCAAGGATAAAAGAGGTTTTAATACTCTAATTACATAGGATGCTTTATTTAATTTGGGTATCATTTGGTCAATATGGGTTTGCCATGACAATTTATGATCAATAACCAAACCTAAAAATTTTGTAACCTCCACATTGGTTATTTGTTTTTTCCCACATAGTATATGTAAATCTAAAGCTCTTGTGTTTTTAGTTACAAATTGTAGAAAGTAAGTTTTTGTAGGATTTAGTAGTAATAAATTACTACTAAACCATTTATTTAATTTTTCTAAAACTATATTTATATCTTTTTCAAATCTTGGGGTGTCAGGATTAGTAATTATTACACTTGTGTCATCAGCAAACAAGGCTGGATTCGATACATTAGATATGGCATTAGGCAAATCATTGATATATAAAAGGAAAAGCAAGGGACCTAGTATGGATCCTTGAGGGACTCCAACGGTAACAGGCTCCCATTTAGAGTAGAATTTAATTGAGTCAGAAACAACTATTACTCTCTGGTATCTATCTGATAAATAGGATCTAATTACATCATTAGCCCTTCCATTAATCCCGTAATGATTCAACTTTGAAAGCAGAATATCATAGTTTACACTATCAAAGGCCTTGTGAAGATCACGCTTGTGTTTGATATAACCCAAAATTTCGACAAATCGACTGCACCCAAACTAAGGAAGCTAGGGTCCATTAGGGACCGTTGGTACTGACTGGCGACTAACCGTTTGAGCTATGGCACTGCCCTGCCAGTGTCACTGAACAGAATTCACGTTTTCGCGCATAATATTATAGATGTACGTATGAGTAATGGTATGAGGGCTGAGCCATAAAATTGGCCCTCGCACTGCGACCTTCAGTGATCTATTGGGCTTCCCATTTGGATTAATATTACAGACCGTTACAGACGTACGTACGTTTCAGTTAGGGTAGGTTTACGCTGGCACGTCAGTATGTTGGTAACCGGTACGACCACGACCCACCATGACTTATTCAGTCCGTTGCTCTGTTTGCCACTTGCTTTCACTTTGGTTTCTTGCATGACTCATTCTTAGACCCTGAAATTGGAGTTGATATGTTACTCTGTAACATCGGTTTACTTTCAACAGATTAAATGAGGTTATTTTCCAGAAGGTACAACTCATCTTGACTAGATGCTCGTTTGTAGTTTTATTTCTCTACCAGGTAATTTGTAATGTTGGCGATAATACAATCGAGCTCACCAATACTTTGAATTTAATATTCCCCAATGCGCTTATTTCCATGTAAGCCAATTAACGTACATATAAAACTTCGGACATACAAGTGCAGGTTATGGATTAAGAATATATTCCACTCCATCATAACGTTCGATCGTAAAGATGCAGCCAGTATGTTTCTCTGAAATGTCGCTGAGCTGCTCTTAATGACGAACTTATCCGTGCCAATTCGCACGCTTGGCTATACTGAGCGATACTGAGAAAGTTGTACGGTGTAGTACTTTGAATGTCAGTTTGTGCAATAGAATTTCTGACGTGTAGTGAAAATGAAGATAATTATAATATTATCATTGCTATTTATTTCCGTGCAAAACGTAAAGTCTGCGTCCTTAGAGGTTGTAACAGATGATGAGCTTTTAAATTTGTTTAAAAGCGAGAAATATGTCATCGTTCTCTTCAGTGAGTAGCCGAGTACATCGGCCACGTGCAATTATGTTGCATATTACACACTTATAACGAAAAAAATTATTCCTAAAACAATTTTAATTAAGCATAAAGTGTTCTTCCCATACTGCTACTGTGTAATAATGCATGGCTAATACATTCGGCGCAAATTGCGTTTTAACCTGAAGACTGGTTTTGGCATTTATTTAATGATATGTTAGCTGCATAAGATAAATGGCGTTAAATGATAGGGTTGTAAAGAATGAAAAGGATGGACAGACATGGTCATGGACAGTGTAAGGCATTATTATAGCACTTGTGTGGAAGTGCTAAGGAAAACCATGAAAATTGTTAGGCAGTTTCAGGAGGGTGAGTGGAACTTTAAATCCACAAATGTGAGAGAAACTATCATTCAAGTAACAAAGGAAAGTAGCTTTTAATACTGCTAAAGAGATCATGTCAATGCTGTGGGAAGTGTAGACATGTTTGGATACTACCTATTATAAGGCAGCTACATTAAATTATTGTAACATAATTTCATCCTTGGTGAACAGAGAAGTCCATGGAGATAGGCCTAGGCCCACTGGGGCTGTAGTGCCAAGGAAAAAAAAAAGCATCCTTGTCATGAAGTAGAAACAGTAGTGTACAATATGTAACTGATTACTTTCATACACACTTTTGATACATGTCATCTAGTATATGGCTATCTTCTGTTTCTATAATGTTATATTTCATAGAAATGAGTCTCTGAAATTAAGTGCATGTTCAAATGAGTTTTCAGATACCATGGGTTGAAAATGTGATTTAATTTGGTTGAGCTGTGCTTATGGTGGGAGTGACTACCATACAGCTTAATTCTTATGTAATAAGAGTTTTAGTTGAGGTCTGTACTGTGAATTGAAGTGCTCTTGTGTTGCAGCCAAGAGGGACTGTGAACAGTGTGATAATTTTGAAAATGAGTTGATTCATTTGCGAGAAGACTTAGTAGACACTCTGAATGCTTGGGTGGTAAAAGCAGTCAGTAGTCAGCTGGTTCGACTTTACAACCCAAACAAGGAACCAGCTCTTGTTTTCTTCCGACATGGTATTCCACTGCTTTATGAAGGTACGTATTCAGTTAAAATAAATTGCATCTTCATTAGGAAGAACCTGTTGTTAACTCAGCTACACAAATGAGGCTCAAGCTCCAGCCAGGGAATTTTCTTCACTGTGTAAATTCTCTTGCGGGTTTTCCATGGTTACAGTTGCAGCTCTGTACACTCTGTATGCATTTGTTGTGTAGTAAGGTAAAAAGGTCAAGGTAAAGCTGTCTCTGTAACAGGCCATGAAGGCCCAGCGGGGTGTGATAGGTCAAGGCACTCACATCTTCTAGACATCAGCTCATATAGATGGCAGTAAAGTTGTCAGTCTTAAGCACTGGTAGCCCTCTTTACCCCCAGGAGAATTCCTGGTACTCATTTCTCTTAGAGGCTGAGTTGACCCTAGGGCAATAGTGCAGCTGGAAGGTTAGGTCAATTGAAAAATCCATACAAAGTTGTTTACATTTTATAATTCTTGTCTGGCCCATGCATGAACACATTGAGAAACATATTTCCTGTGTGATGTAGAGCAGACATTTGATCATATATCAGGGTATTCCTCTCAAATTTGTCAAGAAACAGAGTCTTAGCTTTGTGTCCACTGGTAGGATTTTGTGTTGGCACAATTTTAATGCTACAACCATAATTTACTTAAGTTGTTGGCCACTGTTCTTGATGGGTTTGAGTTAATGTCTCTTGGAACGGAGAGTATCATGATGTTTGATGTCATACCGTATGCTGATCCTCACTGTATATCAGAAGGATGTGTACTATACAGAAATCAAGTTGCTCATTAATCCTCCATATGCCATTAAATGCTGAAATGTATATACAAAGGTCATTCAATTGAAGACTGAAAATGTTAAATAGACGTTGAAATTTGCAGACAACAAGGAGACAAGTCTTCAGTGTTGTCCAATGGACTTAAATCAGTGCAACAGGACGCTAAAATATAACATTCAGTGTTGTCCCTGGTACATTTGACACACTTTCTCCAATGCTGTACTAATATGACTTGCCTAAAATATAAAATAAATTTTCTACATCTGTAATTTTTGCTGATGATACTAGCATCTTATTTTTGCATTCTAATATAAATGATCTTAGCAAGAATATTATATGGAAGCCGACATGCCGAGGAGACCTAATATGGATTCCACCTCACACTATACAAACTCTTTACTGTAATCTATTGTAAACAATTGTGAGTATTGTAACTTTACTCTCTTATTGTAATCAGCCAATGTATAGTAACTGACTTGTCCTATATCATGTAACAATGATCTATAGAGAGGACATAAAGGAATAAATATAACAATTGAAATCTTAAATGGTTGCTTTAGAGCTAATAAATTATCTTTACATTTTAATAAGACACATTGTATTCAGTTTAAAACTAAGACAGTAATGTCAGATACTTTTACATTGAATCATAATAATAAGTTTATCAGCAGTACCCTCAGTACTAAATTCTTGGGAGTTACAGCTGATAGTGCCTTAACATGGAAGAATCATACTGATGTACTTGTAAAAAAATTAAGTAAAGCTTGTTACGTAATTAGAAATATGAAATATTATATGTCTATTTCACCTGTAAGTAATCTATTATTCCTTTTTTCACCCCTTAATGGAGCTATGGTATCATCTTTTGGGGAAACTCATCTCAGAGTTCTGCTATTTCCCTTCTCCAAACAAAGGCTATCAGAGCGATGTTGGGATATAGCAGTAGTTTCGTGTAGAAACATATTTAAAGAGTTAAATATTTTATAATTTGCATCACAATATATATTTTCATTGTTAGTATTTGTATTGCAAAACAAAGTTCTTTTTCCATCAAACATTGATTCTTATACAGTGCGTATAATCAAGTGCGCGCCGCGGCTGCAATTTGCCGTGAGTCATACCACCGCAGAACGGATGCAGTCGTGGGGAGGAGTTGCAACTCCTCCCTGCGACTGCATCCGTTCTGCGGTGGTATGACTCACGGCAAATTGCAGCCGCGGCGCGCACTTGATTGTACGCACTGTA